GCGCGGCGCGGCGCGGCGCGCGGGGCGGGCGGCGCGTCGGGCGGGGGCGCCTGGCGGGCGCCTGTCGCGCAGGCAGGCAGCTGGGGTGCAGGGGATATGACTGGGCTCGTTTGAATACGCTTGTAAGACGGACTGGGGGTACTGCTGGCTCATGTGTTGCATCGCTGGTGCATGCAGCGGCCGCATACATAGGCCGGCGCCCGGCGGGAGTACCCAGCTTCGCACGCCCGCGGCGCGCTGCTCCTCGCTCGTGCTGCTGCTGAACGGAATGGACCCAGGAGACCGCTGCTGCAGGAACGCAGCTTCAACTGCTGAAATATCTCATTGAATTTGTGAAACGCACCTCTACCCTTAGCAGCCCAGCCGTCCCAGAGGGCTCCAGACCCCTCGCCAGCCCAACCAGCGCCAGGCACAGCACTACCCGTGCCGCCCATATTCGCTGGTGTTTTTGATTGATCATTCCTGCCACAATGATACTGATTGCTTCCACAAGTCCGCTCGACACGCGGGGTGGCCGGTTGGAAAAAGGCAATGACCACGATCATGTGGGCGTATGGCGGCACGTCGACCGCCATAAGCATAACAAGGATTTGCAGATATCGTCAGATGCCGGTGCCAAGCCCTCTATTGGTTGCGACGGTTGCGGATCCTTGTGTTGCTGCCGCCGTAGCTGCTGCATCCACCGCACTTGGCCTCATGGACAGCGCGGTCTGTCACTGGCTTCCTGCTCCCAAAATGTCCGCTGCTGCCACCAGAGTAAAGAATGTATTCAGCGCAGGCGCTGAACGTGTGCTCTGCGGCCTCCTGCAAAGGTCAACCCGACTTGACCTCCCTTGATCCCACCCTACTTCGAAGCATGGCTCGTTGTAAGATTACTAGTGAAGTAGGACCAAGTGGATTACATGCCGCGGGCAGATCATGCGCCAGAAAACAGCCCGAGACTGCGCCGCCGTTAATGGCCAAGAACGTTCATGTGACCTACTTGACTGACGACATGCTATGTCGCCGGCAGCCACACCGCCGCCCCACTTACTGGCCAGGCGACACGTCGGTGCGGCGCGTCGAGGACCTGCTTTTCTATACAAAACGCAACGGGCAAGTGCTGCCACACAATAGTCACTCCTCCCCAAACATTTCGAACCAAGCAGGAAACACGTCATCCCGCTGAGCAGGCAAGCAGGGTTTGCGCTCAATCGTGAAGCCATTGCCAAACGCCTGAAACAGGGGTGTACCACGTCTGCAAAGGACGGCGTTCAGTGCACCCACAGTCTGTCCAGAAGCACCCCAAGTGTCTGCAAAGCCTCGGGCAATGCATGTGTGCTGTGTTGAATGTAAGGAACCAAGGCGCTGACGCGCCCACGCATGCACAAATACACACACGCTAGACATGTCACGTAAACCCACGAGGGGAAGAGGAATCAGTGCAGGTTGAGACAGGCGGCGGCGCCGGCGCGCCCGGACGGGGCGCGAGCGCACGAGGCGCGGCACGGCGGGGGCGCGGCCTTGGTGCGTTCCGGGGGCGACGCGTATGGGTTGCCCTCGTTCGCTCCTCTCTTGACAACTGATTGAGTGCCCGTCCCTCACTTGACAATATGGGACCCTGGGGAATCGACCGCCCTGCTTCGACCCACCAACAGACCATGGGGTTAAGGCGTTGATGTGTGAGGCTGCTCAGCAGCGCGCAGGCGTGTGCCAGGAGGGCAAGCCCGCCGTGGCCGACGGCGGAGTGAAGGGTAATTGGTGGCCCGAGCCGAAAAGCTCGTTGGCATTTTGCGCACACTTTTGAGGGCGTTGCAGGCCATGCCGCGGCAAAAAAGGCCGCCCTGCGGGAACGCGGCGCTGCGGGTAGAGAAAGAGGGGCACAGAATGGGAAGGTGATTGAAAGCGTCCAGGGCGGGCTCCGAAATGCCTTGGGTCGGAGGTGCCGCAAGCAGTGCTGCTGGCGCGGCCGACCCCGCACAGGGTGAGAAGAGGGTGAGTCGTCGCCCAAGCACGAGTGAGGCAGGGCGTAGGAAACTAGATTGTGGGGGGAAAGGCGGTGAGGCGAGTCGCGCAATTGCTGTCGAGACGCTCAAAGTGGTGCGCTGCCCGATAAAAGTGCAGCGCACGCTCGTAGTATGTTCCCTCCCACAGACATCGCAAAACCCAACAAATAACCACAAACTCCAGGTGCCCGCCAGCTCGTGCTGAAGCGGGATCCAAGGCCATGCCCAAGTGCCTGAAGGCGACCACCAGGCACGCGCAGCCGCACAGCCGAGCGGCAGGCCTTACCGCGCGCCTGCTCCCCCGCCCGGCGCGCCGCCGCAAGCGGGAACCGCCTTCGCTTTTCAGTTCGACATGTGCCCGGTGTGCTGACTCACACCAGGGGCCAGTGTGCTGACTCACACCAGGGGTGCTAAGCAGGAGTGCGCTCGCAAGCGCATGGTCACACGCGATCGGCTCGTGTGCGCTGGTCCGCACACTCATTTGTGACGCGCCTGCCCCTCGGCCGGTTAGCTGGCCGCAGCCACATAAGAGAAAGCTTGTGACGCCCCTAACAGGGCGCCGCAATGGGTTGGTGCTGAAAGGTGGCACCGGCAAGTGCAAGAGTGGGGCTACCCCAAGATTGCGGAAGGCGCGTGCTGAAGCACGCGTGGCGGCAGGGGGAGGGCATTCTGCAAGGCTCGTGCCGTTGCGCCCGCCGACGCGCCTGTGTGGGGCCGAGGGACCCCGAATGTGTGAACTGATGCGCCTCTCGCCCTCAAGACCAGTGTGGCAGGCGCCTGGCGGCGGCGGGCGAGGCGAGATTGGCGGGTGCCGGGCAGTCTCATCCGCTCCACTGGAGCCGCCGTCCGCACGCGGCGGCGGCAATGCGAAAAGGGCGCTCGGCGCCAGGGCAGGCCCCTGCTCTGTGGCACGTGCAGGAGGCACTCACGAGCGCGCATCGGGCGCGCTGTGGCTGGTAAACACGCTCTGGGAGACACGAGCAGTGACTGCTGTGCGGCATGTCAACTTGCGGCTCGCCAAATGATGAGGTGGCATGCATTAAGGTGGGGCATCATGTGCAGATGTGAGGGGAGAGGGTGCAGCTGCTGTGGGCAAAGACTCCGATGGGGCAGACTCCCATGTGGCTGAGTCGTGCGGCCGAGGCGCGCCGTATCAAGCGCCGCACGCCCGTGTCGACTGCACGTTTGCTGCGAGTTCGCCTTGGGTGCGGCCACAGAAAGCACCGGGCGCTCAACCAGGCGGACCGTCGGCTGTGCCCACGGCGTCGCACGGGCTGCTGTCCTGCTGTTGCGGGCGTGTCATCAAGCGCTGCCCGGGAAGAGCTGGCCCAGGGGCTGCAGTATCTCGAGTATGTCCCGGAACGTGGGGCGGTCAGAGGGGTCGTGCGCCATGCAGGCCGCAGCCAGCAGCTGAACGCACGCAAGAGCACAGCAGGGGGGCGGGGGAAGGGGGCGTGGTTGATTTGTATTGTGAAAACTAGATGCTGGGGTTGGCCATGCACTTGAGAAGTCGAGAGCTGGAAAGTTGTCGGCACAACCTCGGAAGGCACGGCAGTGCAGCCCCCGCTGAGCTGCGGAGGCGCCTGCGAGCTGCCCGGCACTGCCTGCGGCAGGCCTGCTGCGCACCGCACCTGGAGGCACTCTGGGACGTCAGAGGCCGGCCCAAACTCGAGGCGGCGCCGCTCGACACACACGGCATGCAGGAGCGTCGCCCGCGTCATGCCGCGCCAGGGCTGCTCGCCGGTGCAAATCTGGCGGGTTTGACGACAGAGGCGGCAGCTGTCAGCAGTGCGCGTTGGAAAGCAGATTGCTTCGCATTGTTGCTTGGGTCAGGCTAGAAAAGCCGCCACACAATCGCATCAACGCGTGTGTGAGGGGATTGCATCCTCCAAGCTTGTCCAGCACATAAGGGCGCGCCGCCTCGGGGTTGCGGCGTCATACACTCGCAACTGCGGGCCCCCCACCTGCCAGAGCAGCACCCCGAATGAGTAGACGTCTGCGGCCTTTGAGACCAGCCGCTGCGACAGCACCTCTGGCGCCATGGCCGTGGCGGCCCCGTGGTCTGACGCTGTGACACTCTCATGGCCCTCCTCCAGCACCAGGGACAGCCCGAAATCTGAAGGGGGGGTGCATGCGCAAGTGTGCGTGTGTCGGTGTGTGTCAGTATGTGTGTCAGAATGTGTGTTTGTGTGTAAAGAGTGTGTGTGGGGGAGAGAGTGGGTGCAGGGCGGTTCCGCCAGTGAATGTATGAGAGGGCTGCACGGCGGGCCTGGCACCAGCCAGTCTTTGCCCTTGGCGAGGGGGCGCAACCGTGCAGGGACGGGCACCAGGGGGACCAACGGATTGCCTGCGAGGGTCGGGACGCGCCCCGCCGCGCCGCACCTGAGATCTGTGCGACGAAGCCGCGCGCGTCCGTGTCGCTGGCCGCACGGCTGCTGAGCAGCACGTTTGATGCTGTGAGGTCGCAGTGCAGTATGCCCAGGGCGTGGAGGTATGCCATGCCGGACGCGACCTGTGTGTGTGTGTGTGTGTGTGTGTGTGTGTGTGTGTGTGTGTGTGTGTGTGTGTGACGCCAGCGTCTCGTGTTGATGGGGGAGGGGATGGGGGCGAGTCAAATCGCCAGTGGACCGAATCAGGCAGCTTTCGCCGCGCAAAAAGGGCGCAGGTTCTGACCTCACGGGTGGTGGCGAGCGCTCGCAGCAGGTTGACAGAGCCGCCGCTGCCTCCCGGCCCGCGCATGGCCCCGCTGTCGACCGCGGCCTGCAGGGTGCCCTTGTCTGCGTAGTCCAGCACCAGCCAGGTCTGGGTTGGGGTGATGGGGCCGCAGTCCAGCGCCAGTCCGGGGCGAGTTCGGGACGTTGGTAGTGGGGGACAACAAAGCAAGAGCGGCGATGAGCTGCTTGCTTGCAGACAGGCGTAGCGTAGTCGCAGGGGCAAGTGCAGGCACAAGTGCAAACGCACAACCAGGTGCATTTGTCCAGTATCACCACCTACACGCAGATAACCGTTCTGAAGACGCGTGACGTGCATACACGCACACACACGCAAACCAACACAAACACACACACACACACACACACACACACACACACACACACACGCATGCGCGCACCCACCTGCCCATTGGCCTCGTGCCACGCGAGGGTGCGGACTATGTTGGGGTGCGACAGTGCCGCAGACAGCTCCGCCTCGAGGGCAGCTCCGGACTGCGGGTCTCGCTGAGTCACCGTGTCCAGGGCCTTGACCGCCACAGGGGCGCCGTGGTAGGTGCCCATGTACACCCTGCATTGCAGTGAAATGAGATTGTCCCAGCTATATGTGTGGTTCGCTTTGAGCAGCTAAGTTGAGCCCGTGGCTTGTCCTTCCAGGGGCAGCAAACCCTGTTTATGATGCAAGCATCAATAAAAGCAGAGTGCAGAAAGCAGCACGCTGCAAACGCGACGGGCCCGAGCTGGAGCACGAATCAGGCCGGGCCGCCGGGCAGGCAGCATGCGCCCACCTGCCGAAGTTGCCCGCGCCAAGCACGGCTCCCAGCCGCAGCTGACTCAGCGCGTCGTCCCCCGACAGCGACAGCCGCGCCGCGCGCCCGCTCGCCACGGCCGCGCCGCAGCTCGAGCCGACGGCAGTGACGGCAGTGCTAAAGCTTGAGCCGCCGCCGGCACCGCAGTTGCTGCTGCTGAATGAACTCAGCAATGAAGAGCGGCTCGTCGACTCCTGGCAGGAGCTTGACGCGCCCAGCAGGGTGTGGCGGCCGCTGTCGTACCCACCCTGCGGGCAGCGCGCGGCACGGCGCAGCGGGGTGCAAAGCGGCGAGAAAGTCATTGGTACGGGCACATGCACAGCAGGAGGTTCGCAGGAGGGTCCCAGATGGAAGGACAGCGGCTGCTTGTAATGAGGGGGGGGGGGGCGAGAGAGGCGCCACGGGCGGTGACCGACGGGCCACACCTCGCTCTTGCTGGGCATGAGCAAGCTGCCGTGCGGCTGCCGCTCGAGGTGATGCGCGCCGGGCGCCCAGTCGTCGCCGATGGAGATGCGGCGGCTGCCGCGCGCGAGCGTGCGCCACTGGCCCGCGGTGGGGTCCTTTGGGGGCACGAGCGGAAGATCTGGGATCATCTGTCGGGGTCGCGGGGGGCCGCACGGAGGGCGGGCACGGATGACACGGTGGGGCGAGGTGAGGCGTTCGCAGGGGAGGCGGAAGCGTCAGCGCCGCTCGGGTCTGTGAATGGCGACACCACAGGCGATCGTGCAACCGCACATGCATGGCTGGTGCCTGCCAGCACTTTACAGCAGCCGTTGAAAGCTGCGCGGCAGCTGCACGGTAGCTGCGCGGCCTGGCTGCGGCCTCACCTCCTCGACCTCCCGCAGCGCCTGCTCAGCAAAGTACTCAAGGGTCTGCTGGTGCGCCATGCCCACCTCCGCGCGCGGCTCGGGGTCGCAGCAGCAGCTGCGGGGGCGCACGGGCGCATGCACGCGCGCACAGCCTCAGAGAAAGTGAGCAAGCCAGGGGTTGAGGCGCGCAACGCGCGGCGCGAGGGGATGCAGGTGTAATCGCGGGCGCGGGGGGCGGCTCACATGGCGCCCATCCAGCGGCCGTCGGCGCCGAAGAAGGGGGCGCATGCGAAGAACCTCATTTGGCCATTCAGGACTGAAGGCAGGGAGGAGGACCTGTGTGTTTGTGGAGGGGGCAGGGACGTCGGATAGTGAGATGCATGACATGCGGCAAGCATGGCCTGCGGGCCCCCCCGCCCGGGTGCATGCAGGGTGCATGCCGCACCGCGCGGCGTGCGCATGGAGGTGCGCACGCACCTGCCGTCCGCAGCAGTGTCTGGGATGAAGACGGGCCCCTCGATGGCAGGGTCGCAAGCGAGCGCCCATACGTCCGCCGCGAGCTGCTGCCTGCCGCGCCTCGGCGTCCGGTCCGCCGGACGCCCGTCGTCGCTGCGGCACAGGCACACGCGCCCGCGGCCGTGCGCGCCGGGAACCGCGATTGCGGCCATGCTGGCACCGTACAGGCGGCCGGCCAGCGCAGCGATGCGCTCCAGCTCTGGGGAAGGCGCTTCGCTGGACAGCTCAGGGGCGGGCCCAAAGGGCTTGGTGCCGGCACCACCACGACTCGGCGTCAGCGCCCCGGCGGTTGCGCCAGCGGGAAAGCCCGTCGGGGCCGGGACCACGCACCACGCATGCGAGGCTGTGGGAGGCGCGGTGCGCGGCTCACGCGGTGCCTGAGGACGATCGGCAGGTCGGATGGTCGCGCGTGGGTGAGCAGCGGCGGCGGATCTTTCAAGATATGAACGCCAGCGCCGCATGCCGCGCGGAGCCCCCCTGCCGCCCGCGGCTCACCGAGTTGGCTACAAATGGCTCATAGGTGAGCGTGCGACTCGTGTTTGCTCCCATTTGGTCTGTGCTGCGGCTGACGTCCTGTGGCTATCCAACGCAGCAGCGAGTGCGACGGGCCATGATGAGTCGAAAGAGCTTGTAGAGGCCCGTCTATGCGTTTTGAGCGCTGTCGCGCGCTCAACGCGATAGATTTCGGGGCGTGCTTCGCCGATCTTCCCCGCTGTTGCTGGTTGCCGAATCAACGCTATTGGAGGCCTTTCAGCTCAGGTGGGGCCTTAGATTGGAACCAACGATGTTATTCGTAGGGCGAGCAACCCTGTTCCTTGAAGACAAGGGCCGTCGTTCTGTGATGATGCCAGAGTCGACAGGCGCGCTGATAGCGGTGACTGATTGCTCAACCCCCCCTTGATTGTTAAAAGAAAAATCGTGCGTTGAACGCCTTGGCGGTGCGGTTGCCCGCTGGGCGAGCCTGCCCAGCCACCCCGTGGTGCCGGGTGAGCATCACTAGCCCCGAGCTGTGAACTGTGAACATTGTGCAGCGCCACCACCAGAGCCAAGTCTTAAATTTCCACCTGGGAGCAGGCATGCATACCTCGCCCCCATCAGCAGCCCAGCCATACAGCAGCACCACCCAGTCGAGTGCAGCTCTAGTGCAGCAGCTCGCCAGTCGTAGCTTCACTTGCCACGAGACAACATGCTGATTCAGACCGTCCAGGCCGTGAACATTTAGTTGCATTGCGCGCAAGACATGCAGCTGGATTGTGTTTGCCAGCCCACGTGCAACCGCATCAGAGTGGGCGGTCGTAGTGGCATCCCTGTGCCATTTCAGGCTCCAGTGCTGCAGGAGGTCGAGCTGCTGCCCGCGTACATGTCAGGAGGGTGAGTGGCACAACAGGTGTGATGTCGCCAGCCATGCTGATACTCTATTGCAACGAACCTAGGGTCACCCCTGTGCAGGGTTTGCCGCCCCCAAAGCACCCGGTCCGCGCGAAGTGGTCAGCAGGTGCCGACCCCGTGCCCGCCGCCCGGCAACCGTTGTCAGATATGGCCCTGACGGTGGTGGTGGTGACGCACCAACAGGCAAGTCATTGTACATGCTTACATGCGACAGGGCACCAAATCTGGTGGTCCACGCGTCGCTGAAAACAGACCAACAGAAACAGACCAACCCTTGTGCAAACAAACGAGAAACCTGACAGGCAGCCTCACAATGCGACTTCAATAATCTGACTTCAAAAACGAAAACGGGGATGGTATGGTGCCAAACAACACCTTGTACAAACGCTGCAGAGTGACAATACAGGCTCAGCAATCCACCGCCCCCCAACGCTGGCACGCATGATGTGTGCGGCAGGGAATTGGCCATCCAATGCGAAGGGCAGGACGGCGGCAAAGCCTCCAGATGGCCTGCGGATGATGCATGGAAGAGAGCGACGCACTGATGGGCGCAGCAGCGAGGGAGCAGCGCTGCCGAGTCTGCAGCCGTGCAGGCGCCTGGGGGCGGTTTGACCATGACGGACGGTGCCTGCAAATAAAGCAGGCGTGTGCGGCGGCGTGATGGGGGTTCTTGCCTCTGTGCTACTCTCGCGTGTTCAAAGCTCGTGCCTTTCAACACACGGGCGGCGGGACGCAACGCCCCCTTTTGTGCGGGGGCCGCCTGTCTGCACACGCGCTTGCGCTCGCACGCAGGCGCATGTGCATGAGAAGCCAGGAATGGCGGACGGCGCTGAGCCCGGCCCAGGAAGGCAGAGACGCGTCGTCCGAGGCGCGGGTGCGAGAGTCGGCAACAGCGCGGCACACACATCCCTTCGAGATGGCGGCAGCCATACCAAGCGTGCTTTGCAGAGTGTTCATGCATTGTATGAGGATGTGGCGCAGCGCTGGGGGCTCCGCGCCAAGAGCGCCGGGCCCACGCGCCAGGCAGCATGGACCTCTCCGGCTCGGCAAAGAGCCGTCGCCGGCCGCGGCCAAACAGGGAGTGGTGTGGGGTGATGGGGCGCGTGTGGTCTGGCATCCTAACAAAACGTAGGTCAGCAATGTGCTGCTTTTCGGCATAGCGAGAACTAACGCCACAGCAGAAAGACTTGTCAAAATAACCCTCCTCCCGCCAAGCAAGGCCCAACACGGCAGCTGCTTTGTTTCAAGAACCTCCCCAGAGCCCAGCCCTCCTAACCTACAATGAGTAGCCGGCGGCTGGCGCCGGCGTCGGCTGGCAAGGCCAATGTCAAGTTGCCATGAGACACAGAAATGCAAGCGGCAAGCAAGGGGTCGATTTTGGGCCCGTCTGCCTGGTCAGGGGGCTGGATCTGCCGCGGCAGGCGCCAAACGGGCGGGTCCTCATCGAGCGCTGCGCTGGGGGGGACATGCGTGCTAACGCACGGGCCCGTCCCTTTCGCGGCCGGTGGGGGGATGCGTGCCGACGCAAACGCTCGTTCCCTCCACAGCCAAGGCCTCCTGGGCCCGCCTGCCAGGGTTTCCCAGTGGGCCCACGCTCGCGTGGGCCCGCGCTCCCACAAGCGCGGGCCCAGGCGGCCGGCGCTTGTGGCGTAGGCCGCCTGTGCCCGTGCTGGAGTCGCGGGCGGCACGCTGTGTGCTGGGCCCGGCAGCACAACAAGGCGTGTGGGTGGTAAACAGACAGGCAGTAGGCTCAAAACGGATGCTGGATTGGAAAAGGGCCGTCGATGTGTGTGGGAGCGAGGCGTGGGCCACGACCCTCAAGGTGAGTCGGGGGCGCCTGGGAAGGCAAGGAGCCGGCGATGCGCGCATGCTGAAGCATGCGCGACGGCCGGCAGGCGTCTCATGGCGCGCGGGTTGCATCTGCCGGCCCCGCGTCGACAGGCAGAGGCCCATCATCATTCTGATCGGTTTGTTGAACACGCAGGGCCCCGGGCAGGGAATTGGAGGCATGTCAATGCTATCTGGCAAGGCAGTCCAGGGTTTGCAATGGGTGCTGCGTGGCGAAGCTGAAGTGCACGCGTGAGGCCCGCTTGTGGACCGCGCAGCGCGAAGAGCGCGCTTGTCGCCTTGGACGGGCGTGACGGTGTCGACGCGCCGCCGCCCAGCGCTGCGGCCCGCCGGGCGACGCCGCGCGCCGCCTCACGCACCGCGGACGCCCCCGCGCCGCGCAGCGCGTGCCGGCCCCCGGCCGCAGGCCCGCCACCGCGGGCGCCGCATGCGGGCTGCTGCACTGCTGCTGCTGCGGCGGTGTGATCACGCACCGCCTGGGAAGAGCTGGCCCAGGGGCTGCAGTATATCGAGGATGTCCCCAAACGTGGGGCGGTCGCAGGGGTCGTGCGCCATGCAGGCCGCCGCCAGAAGCTGCTCACGCAGGGCAGGGGGGCGACGGCGCGCGAGCAGGCTTAGTTTTGGGCACATGCTGCTGGTCAGAAGAGAGTGTAGAGCAAGATAGGGCGTCTCGTCAAAGGCAGGACTTTGCAGCTGCTGATGCGCCGCCAAGACACCCGGAAGCCGCCGGCAGCTGCCTGCACGCGGCGCACCTGCAGGCACTCTGGGACGTCTGAGGCCGGCCCAAACTCGAGGCGGCGCCGCTCAACGCACACGGCATGCAGGAGCGTCGCCCTCGTCATGCCACGCCAGGGCTGCTCGCCGGTGCAGATCTGGAACGTTGGACAATAACGCAGGCGTAAGCAGGGCGCTTTTGAGCACGGAGCTGGGGCGATCGCAATCGCGCCAGCAAACGGCGCGATTGGAAGGGAGGATTGAGTCACATCGGCCGAGCAGCTGTGGCGGGCGGGCGAACGGGCATGCCCTGAGCACTGGCAGAACAGAGTCTGCAATTTTGCACCCCCCTGCGCGCGCCAGTCACAGCCGCGCATGCGACTAGTACGGCCGTGCGGCCTGTGCTGTGCGGCGCTGCCCAGTCGTGCTCGCAGCCGCCGTGTCCCCCTCCCCACCTGCCAGAGCAGCACCCCGAATGAGTAGACGTCTGCGGCCTTGGACACCAGCCGCTGCGACAGCACCTCTGGCGCCATGGCCGTGGCGGCCCCGTGGTCTGACGCCGTCACGCTCTCCTGGCCCTCCTCCAGCACAAGCGAAAGCCCGAAATCTGGGGGGGGGGGGCATGTACGTGTGCGTGAGTGTTCGTAGGAGAGAGAGAGATTGTGTGTGTGTGTGTGTGACGTGTGTGAGTGTGTGTGAGAGTGTGTGAGAGTGTCGGTGGGAGAGTGGGTGTGTGAGGGGTCGTTGCTGGGGCTTCGTCCTCCCGGCTTGCAGGAGTGCTGGCGGGTAATACGCGGGCCATCTGGGACCCAGATGGTGGTCGCCCAGGGGCCGGGGGCTGCGGCGAGGCGGGCACCAGTCTAGCGGGCCGCACATTGGGCGCTCGCCTCAACCGTGCTGCCTGAGACGGCCGAGGGCACGGCCAGCGCCGGCGTGCGAAGCGGGAACAGGGCGGCCCCCGCCGCGCCCACCCACCTGAGATCTGTGCAACGAAGCCGCGCGCGTCCGTGTCGCTGGCAGCGCGCCCGCTGAGCAGCACGTTCGATGCTGTGAGGTCACAATGCAGAATGCCCAGGGCGTGGAGATACGCCATGCCGGACGCGATCTGGGTGTGTGTGTTTGAGGCAGGGAGGGGTGCAAAAAGGTGTTGGCTTGTCGAGGAAGCAGGTGGTGGGGGTCGGATTTGTTTTGGATGGACGAGTCATCAAGCATACAGCGTGCAAGGGGCGGCCGCAAGGCGTGTGCGCGGGGCGGCCTCGGCGCGCAAGCTGACCTCTCTGGCTGTCGAAAGTACAGGCAGCAGATCAAAGCCGCCGGGGGCGCCGCCGCGGTCCTTGCCGCCCGTGCCGCGCATGGCCCCGCCGTCGACCGCGGCCTGCAGGGTGCCCTTGTCTGCGTAGTCCAGCACCAGCCAGGTCTGGGGGGGGGGGACAGTCCGGGGCCAGTCCGGGGCGTTGGTGGGTGCTGCGCGAGCAAGCAAGGGAGGTGCACTGCATGCGCACATGCGTGCGCATGCGCAGGCGCAGGTGCAACGCAGGTGCATGCGTCCAGAATCAACACCAGCACACACCACCGCTACTACCCTAGATTACGCACAACACAAGCGCACACACACGCACGCGCACACACTAACACACGCGCACACACACAAGCAAACACAGACACACACCTGGCCGTTGGCCTCGTGCCACGCGAGGGTGCGGACTATGTTGGGGTGCGACAGCGCCGCAGACAGCTCCGCCTCCAGGGCGACGCCGGACTGCGAGTCGCGCTGAGTCACCGTGTCCAGGGCCTTGACCGCCACAGGGGCGCCGTGGTAGGTGCCCATGTACACCCTGTGACGCGGTGTGGTGAGACCGAAACTGCTCAAGAGGATTGCCGCAGAAACCGCTGGGAGCGTCTGGTTGGAAGCGTTCAAATTGCCGCAGCAGGTTCCTGCAGGCCGTTACCGTAATGTCAGTGATTCGGCGCAGTGCTTGATGATCCGCCAGATTGCAGAGGCGGCAGCCCGGCCTATGGAATGCGAGTGCGCCTGACGCGCAGCGCCTGCGAACAAGTGCGGCGAGCGCCGCGCCGCGCCGCGCCGCGCCGCGACGCGCACCCACCTGCCAAAGGTGCCCGCGCCGAGCACGGCCCCCAGCCGCAGCTGCGCCACAGCGTCGTCCCCCGACAGCGACAGCCGCCGCGGCGTGCGCGCCGCCCGCGCGCCCGCGGCGCCGCTGGAGCTGCCGGCGACGGCGGCGCCGCAGCCGAGGGCGGCGGCGACCGCAGCGCTGCTGCTGCTGCAGCCATAGCTGGAAAATGAGGAGCGCCGGCTGGCGCTGTCCAGGCACAAACCGGGGCCGCCGGGCAGCCCCAGGCGCCAGCTGTCAAATGCAGCCTGCGCATGACGAGCGAAGGACGGGGCATGGCGGCGCAGGTGGCGGGGGCGGCGGCGCGCAGGCGCAAAAGTTAGGGGCGGCGGGGGCCACAGGGGCGCCTGCCGGGCCCGACATGGCCCCCTCTGCAGCTGGTGGATTTGTATTGCTGGCGGAGGCGATAAGAAAGGTTCCCCCAGGCAGCTTGCAACAGGACAAGGCGGTCTCAGGAGGCGGTGTGAGGCGTACCTCGCTCCTCAGCGAGAAGCTGCTGCTCGCCCGATTGTCGCCCTCCTGCTCATACTGCGCCCACTCCTCGCAGATGTACGGCCGCCGCGCGGCCGCGCAGCGCGCGCAGTCCTCGCCGAAAGACATGCGGCGGCTGCCGCGAGAAAGGTCCTCCCCAAACGAGAAGCGGCGGCCGCCGAGCGGCACGGGCGCAACGGATGCCCTGTTTTCGCTGATCGAGTGGCGGCGGCCGCCGCGGGCGGGCGCGGCGCGCGGCTGGCGGCCCAACTGCCCGAGCGGGGCCCTCGGGGCCGCGGGCGCTGCCGACGGCAGCAGCTGCTGTGTGTGGCAAGGAGGGGGCCGGCGGCCGGAGGGGTGATGGGTCGGGCGATTCAAGGGCGGGGCGCTTGCCGGGCAGGTTCGACGCAGCTGCCGCTGATCCCGCCCTCAGGCATGGGCCGCGCCCGCACACACATGCATCCGAGGCGACCGCACGTGCTGGCGCTGTGTGCGCCAGCACACCATACGATCGCAAGCCGCTTGAAGGGTCCAAAGCCGTGGGAAGCTGCGCGGCAGCTGCATGGCGTGGCCGCGGCCTCACCTCCTCGACTTCCCGCAGCGCCTGCTCAGCAAAGTACTCAAGGGCCTGCTGGTGCGCCATGCCCACCTCCGCGCGCGGCTCGGGGTCGCAGCAGCAGCTGAGGGGGCGCGCGGTGTGCGAGCGCACGTGCTTTTGGCTGGCGCAGGGCGGCGCTGTGGTCAGGGGAGGCGGGGAGCGGAGCGGTTGCGCGCGGCGTGCGGGCGGCAGGGCCCTCGGCACGCGGTGGGACGGGAGGGGGCATGAAGCAGACATCTCGGCGACGGGCTGCTCACATGGCGCCCATCCAGAGGCCGTTGTCATCAAAGAAGGGGGCGCATGCGAAGAACCTTATGTGGCCATTCAGGACTGAAGGCAGGGAGGACGACCTGTGTGTATGTGAGGGGCATACGGGCAGGGGGCGGGAGCGCGGGCGACAGATTGTAATGGAGCTTGAGAGCGATCAGACTGCTTTGAGCGGAACCAACAAACGATCGCGCGCGGCCGGCGGCAGCGCCGTCGCGCGCGCGGCGCGCGCACCGGCTGTCTTTCGCGGCGTCCAGGATAAAGGTAGGCGCCGCGGCCGCCGGCCCCGACGCGAGCGCCCACGCGTCGGCCGCGAGCTGCTCCCAGCCGCCCCGCGGTGGCCACGCCGCGCGCCCCGCGCCGTCGGCGCAGAGGCACACGCGGGCGCGACCGCCGAGGCCGGCGAGGGCGATGGCGGCGGCGCGCGCGCCGCACAGGCGGCTGGCCAGCGCGGCGATGCGGCGCAGCTCAGGAGTCGGCGCGTCGTCCCATAGCTCTGGGCCCAGTCCGAAGGGCTCGCGGCCGCCGTCGTCTTGGGCTGTTGCTGCCGCACGCTTTGCCTCCATGGAGGCTCCGGCGGCGGCGAACGCGCGGGCGGCCGCGAGCGCGTTGGCGGCCGCGAGCTCGTCGGCGCCCGCGAGCGCGCTTGCGGCGCCTGCGGCGTCGCCGCCCGGTTCGGGGAGCGCGCACCACGTGTGTGTGGCGGCCGGGGTTGCGAGCGCGCGTGGCTGCAGCGGGGCCTGTCGAGTAGCATGAACGGGGGGCGGCGCGCCGGGTCGAGACAGCGCTATCTGTGCGGATCGGCGCGTGGATAGCGGGGCGCTTTTCGCACGGTCGCGCGGCGCGGTCTGCCTCACCGAGTTGGCCACGACCGGCTCGAACGTCAGCATTTGGCTGTGATTTTGTCCCATCATTGCTTGTGCCGTCGGCACCCGTCCCACGGACCTAAGGCTACCACCCGCGCAGGGGGTGACGGCCTGGCATTGCGGTTGACTTTCGGGATGTGTTCGCAAAAGGCATGAATGCTGACTTCGACTGGCCCGTCAATCCGACATGGCTGCGTGGCGTCGGTTCGCTGGCCCGGACAAGTGCCAATTAGTACTAGCAGCCCAAGGGTCCTATGCGAGTTGTTGACGCACATCAAAGTTCTTGAACACCCAGTCTGTTTTTACCGGTTGCCCGCGCCCTAGTGCCCGGACCTGGGCGCCCCTGGTGATGGCATCGGCTGATGCCGGATTGCCAAGCCCGTGCCAGCCACGTGAGCAAACCGAGGGGGTCCCTGGCCAGGTGCATCCACGGCGGGCGCAGTATGATAAGCCACAGGCATGGCCTGAGCAGCCCCAGTGGTCGAGACTGTCGGGGCCGACGGACGGTTCTCATCGCTGGGAGCTGCGTGTCATCGGCCAACATGAAGTGATGGGTGAGGATCACCAAGCGGTGATGCCCTGCGGGAAACCCTCTTTATTGCCGTCAACAGCACGATAATAGCACTTCAGCTCGGATTTATGACGTCAAGATATCCTCGATCCCGTTGACGACGCCGTCCGCCGCGACACAGCCTCTGCTGTTGCAGCGACGGACACACAGGCAGTTGGCAGCTGTGCGTGCGTGCTGCATGCGCCTGGGAACTTGCGCGTTGCTTACCTGAGCATTCATGGTCAGCACCAGAGCCCTTGAAAAGATGGATAGATGGTGGTGGTCGGTTGTCAGGTTGAGGTCTGTTATTTGCTGACCAACTGCCCTTGCTCGTGCATATCTCGGTGATTTCGAGCGGTGTTTGTTTGACAGCTGCAGTTGCCAAGCTAGCAAGCGCAGACTGTTTTCCTTGAGAAGGGGTGAACCTTGGGTTTGCAACCATGTGGCAACACTGTTGTGCGCCACGCTATCTGCATGCACCTGCGCAGGTGCAAACTCCGACCTGAAGCACCAGTTTGTTTTTCAAACCTTGCCGCATGCTGTGGTGTATTGCAGACTCCTGCCAGAACACCAGTGCCCCTTCGAACGTCGCAGCTTGCGTAGCGCCAAGAAACAGCTAATGCCTTTGACATTGCCGCGCCTGCAATGCGCTTTCTGCTCATCCGCTGTCCCACTCGCACCATCAGTCAGTGCGCCATCAGTCAGTTGCAATCGTGCAAGAGATAGATCTTCCTATCTTCATGCTGGATCGTGAGCACACGAGCACCATGCAACGTGGGGTAGCTGCCGCATGTGACATGCTGGGCCGCCGATGCCATGCCCCTACTGCTGTAGATCATGCAATGCGCCATTGTCGTGGCCCTGGCATTGTGTCGTAAAAAAAGGCAAGATATGGCGCCAATCGCTCCTCAGCCTGTCACGTTCGTCGCATCATGCTGTTTTGGGTGGCCACACATGGAATTCAGACTTCGTGGGCACCCATGGTCAACTGGCGCTGCAGAGTGGTCATCGACGGCTTGCAGGCAGCTGGGTGGCTGCCCAGACCAACGCAGCAGGTGTCGAAACGGCACGTCAATCACATCTGTACATACTCCTCTATCATGGTGATTCCGCAGCGTAGGACATCGTCCAATTCGGACTGTCGCAGCTGCGAAGTGACTGATACCGTGAACGGTCGTCGACTCCAGATCAGGAAAACGGTGGATACATAACGTACCGTCTTATTGAAAGCTTTCTGACATCCCAAACACTGCAACTTAGATCGCTGGGCCACTGGCGGGACGCTGGCCGCAGCGATGGTGGACGCTCAGAGCCAGCCGCAGATCCTGGAGCATCTGAATAAGAGCCTAACAGTAACCATACACAGCACACGGTACGGATCGGCCACGGTTCGACGATTGCGCTGTGCGCGCTGCTGGACACAGACACGCCCTGGCCCACCGCGTGCTTACCTGCGTGCAGATGGATCCCTGGCACCGCGCGATTTGTGGCAGTTGGCACGTACGCACGCAGCACGGGCTGCATACAGGTGGGCGTTACCCCACTTCAGCCAATCCCGTCTGCCCAGACCACGCCGGCGGCTTCCTTTGCTGCGCCTGTGCGAGCACCCTGCACATGCCAGTCAAGCGCCGACGACGACCCCGCCCCCAAAAAACTGGGCCTGCAGGTCTACGAGCTGGCCGGCCCTGAGCTAAAGCTCGTCCAAGAAGTCGAAAAGCGCGACGGCTTCAAGTGCGCCACCTTTGGCGCTGCAGCGCCCGCGTCGCAGCAGCTCGCAACTGGCAGCTTCAAGGGGCGGCTCCAAGTCTGGGACCTGGGTGCGCCGGCCGCCCCCGTGTTCGACGCGCAGGCGCACGCGTCGATCATCAATGCCGTGGACGGCTTTGGCGGGCGCACGCGCGGCTGCGGGCCGCCGGAGATTGCGACCGGCGGGCGGGACGGCTGCGTCCGCGTGTGGGACGTGCGACAGCCGGACGCGCCAGTGGCGGCCTTTGAGCCCGCAGACAGCGGGGGCGCGAGGTGGGTGCCTTGCATGCCACGCGCCCATGGCTTTGGCGCTCTTCACAGCCGCCATGCGCGCGCCTGCATGGCTGCGCACGCGGTTGCATGTGAGCACCCATGGCAGCTCGGCTGCCGCACGCGCTGTTGGTGGCGACGCATGGGGCTGAGGCGCACTTGGTGGCGCTGCATGCGGCCCAGGCTCGGCCGCATGCTCGTGCATACGCGCACGCAGGGACTGCTGGGCGGTGGCCCTGGGCAACTCGCACGATGACGAGGAGCGCTGCCTTTTGGCTGGGTATGACAATGGCGACGTGAAAATGTTTGACCTGCGGACCAACACGGTGGGCTTCTCAACGTCTGGCCTACCTCTGCGGCGGGGTGGGGCAGATGGTGCAGCGGTGTGGCAACCTGTGCGGCTTGCACGTGCTCACCCATGTACTCAGGGGACAGCCGCGTGCAGGACAAGGCAATTCACGTCGGCGGTCTTTCATCAGCAACCCACCCCATCCTAACGACGAAGATGTCGCCACCGCCTGCGCCCTGTCCTTCAGGTGCGGTGGGAGGCCAATGTGAAGAACGGCGTGTGCGGGCTGCAGTTTGATCGGGCGGACATCAAAATGAACAAGTTTGTGGCCGCGTGCCTTGAGTCGCAGCTGCACGTCTACGACGCGCGCACGCAGCACCCACGAGAGGCAAGCGCAGGAGACGCACGGTCGGGGTCTCTCGTGGGGGCGAGGGGTGGGGGTTTGGGCTGTGTGGTTGCTGCTCACAGGCAGACGTCATGTGCAGAACAATGGGTGGCTGCCGTCTAATGGGCTCCCAAAAGGCAGCAATGGTGCCCCACCTATACGAAGCCTTGCCCCGCCCGCCTTCGCTCACACCAACCGCTGTGCTCGCCCGGCGGGCGGCCCGCAGGGCTTTGCGGGCATGACCGAGAAGCTGGCGCGCGGCACCACCGTGTGGGGCGCCGCGCACTTGCCCCAGAACAGGGACGTGTTCATGGCGCACTCTGGGGACGGCGAGGTGGCGCTTTACCGCTACCGGTACCCAGACCAGCGGAAGGTCAAGGTGGGGGCCCCCAAAGTGCTGCCGCGTAGGTGGCTGGTGGCTCGCCTGCCACTGGAGCTGGGATGCTGGGCGTCTCCCCCCACGCAGGGTGCAAGCCTGTTTGCTTGATGTACTTTGAAATCCAGATGGCTGGCGTGCTGAATCTGGAGTTCAAGAAAGCTGTTGTCCCCCGCGGCCGTCCCTGACGTTCGTGGGTGCACCCCCAAATCGCGACACACCCACCCTGCAGGACCAGGACGGCAAGGAGATGGGTGTGGTGGGCAAGCTGGAGCGCCTGTGCCACAAGCCGCTGTCCAGCCAGCCGGTCAACAGCTTTGACTGGAGCCCAGACAGGCAGGGGCTGTTCGTGTGCAGCGCGTTTGACCAGTGCGTGCGCGTGGGGGTGGTGACCAAGCTCGACAAGCTCTAGAGACACCCGAATTGTTGAAGCCACTTATTCTGCATACCGTGAGCGGTTTCAGTGGTTCACGCGCGCGTATCACCAGCGGACCAGAAGCGTCCGTCGCCCGAGGCTCTAGAGACAGAACCCCATCAGCCATCGCATGGTGCATGGGATTCGCTGCACCACTGTGCCTGCTGCGGCTGCATGCAGCTTTCTCGTTCGCCCAATTGCGGCCGTGGGTTGCTTGGCTGCCGTGTAATGCCGTGTAGGTGCCATGCGATTGCTGTGGGCCCCTGGTGTGGCGCTATGCCTTTGCATGCACAAGCCCTTCGCATTTGCAGACCTGGGTCCTCTGCCCTTCCATTCGGCCGGAACACCGACCATTAGCAAATCAACTAGCATGCACCGCAAGCTGCCATTGACAAAAGCTGTGCGGCACCAGCAACCCGAAGCCCTGGCATGCTCAAATTTACATGCAATTATTGAATACAGTATCATGTGCATAAGACAAAGGTGAAAACGGATTCACACTTCATAGAAAACAATCTGTAAAAAAAGACGTCCGACCCGAACGGCGCGTTTGATGCAATGGATCGCTTCACGCCGGCGTAGCCACCGCTTGCTGCTGCTGTTGCTGCTGCTGTTGCTGCTGCTTGCTGCCCGCCGACGCCGCCGTGGCCTCCGCGGCCAGCTCCTCCCTCAACTCCATCAGCAGCGCCCCCAGCTGGTTCCTGCCCCCGCCGGCAAACCCCTGGCCCCAGAACGTGTCGTTCGGCGACGCCTCCACCAGCCGCGCCGCCGGCACGCCCGCCGCCGCGTCGCCGGCCGTCGACAGCAGCATCCGCCGCGGGCCCTCGTGCTGCGTGAACTTGGCGCGCAGCGCGCGCAGCATGACGCCGCGCTTGGCGGCGGCCCAGTCAGGCCGGATGAGCTCCGGCTGCGCGCGCTCGGCGCGGCGGCCGATGCGCGCCGCCTCCTCGGGGCTCTCGGCCGCCCTTATGGACGCCGCCAGCGCCCGCGCCACCCCGGAGCCGTCTGTGCGGAACTTGGCCGCCTGGTAAAAGTGCTCCACGCTCGGCCACAGCTCGCCCTCGCCGCCGCCCTCCGCGCCGGGGACGGAGATTGGGTGCGGCGAGAAGTTGCCGAGCGCGCCCCACTCGTCCCAGGCCTTGTAGAACTGGATGACGCGCGGCCCGCCGCCCTTGTTGCGCCCCAGCTGACTGCTGCTCGCCGCCCCCGCCGCTCCCGCCGCCCCCGCCGTCCCCGTCGCTGGGTCCGCCGCGCCCGCGCCGGGCCCGCCGCTGCCGCCCTGCTGCTGCGCCGCGGCGGCCGCCGCGAGCTCGGCCTCTGCGCCCCACGCGCCGGGCGCCAGGGAGCCCGGCTTGTGGCCCGGGTAGGACAGCGCCTGTTCGAGCGCCAGCAGGCCGCCGCTGGAGGGCAGGTACCCCGTGACCAGCAGGTCGGGGCCGGACGGGTGGTACTCCGTGTCTATCAGGTTTACCGCCTGCGACGCGCGTTTGACCAGGGTTTGACCGAGGTTTGACCAACGGCGGCGTCGCCCTGCTGCTGCTAGCCTGACGCTAAGGGCCGCGCGCGGCCTACCGCAGTCCCATGGTGTCGAGCCATTTTAACTTCCTCCCCCCCCCCCACCCCTACACACACGCCGCAGCCTCCTTAACAATCCCTCCGCCCCGACGAGCCCCGCGGCGCACCCAAACCAGGCCCCACCTGCGTCATCTCCACAAACCCGAGCTCCCCGACCGGGCAGGGGGCGCGGTCGCCGCCGATGATCTTGGGGGCCACGAAGGCCATGACCTTGTGGATCACGCCGCTGCTGATGGCGGGCGCAGACAGCGTGCCGCCGCACTCCCAAAACACCTGCAGCCCAAGCAGCCGGGCGCGGGGGGCGCGCGAGCCGGGGACGTCGGCTGCAGGCGGCCAGGAGCGCGTTTCGAGCGGCGCGGGCGGGCGGCTGTTTGCTCCCTGGAGGGGCGAGCGCTGGGCGGCGGGCGGCGGGCAGGACGGCGGCGCCCGCGCCAGGCGCACCTGCAGGAAGCCTCTCTCATTGCAGTACTCTGCCACGTTCTCAGGCGTGAGGAAGTCAAATTCGACCACCTGCCAGGTTTGGGCAGGCAGGGGTGCTGAGCGGTGAGAGGCGGCAGCACACAGCACGCGACGAGATGCGGCTGTGAGGCTGCGCGCCGGCCCCGCCTGCCCTAAACCAAAGCGGCAGGCAAGGGGGAGGGTGAGCGCGGGGGAGGCAGCGGGCGCGGGCGGCGCGGGCAGAGGATGCATGTGTGTGTTTTGTGTGTGTGTGTGTGTGTGTGTGTGTGTGTGTGTGTGTGTGCGCGCGCACGCGCACCTCGACGCCCTTGCCGCGCAGCAGCTGCTGGAAGTCGCGCCGCGCGCCGCGCTGCGTCATCACAATGGTGGGCGCCGCCGACACGTCCCACAGGTTGGCCTCAGACGGCAGGTCGAGGGAGCGGGACATGACGATGCGCCAGGGGGCAAAGCCGCCCTCCCTGGTGGATCGAATTGTGATGGGGAGGTGCCGGGGCGGCGACGAGAGGGGGTGAAGGTGGGCCGGGAAGCGTGCGCGCGACAGCGCGCTTGGGAGGCTGGGTCTGGGAAGGGCGAGCGCGGCCAAGGCAAGGGCCCAGGGCCGGGAAAGAGGCAAATCAACAGGGCGTGTGTGTGTGTGTGTGTGAGTGTGTTGGGGGTGCAAAGGCATCGCACCTGCGGGTTGTCAGGTTTGGGTTGTCACGGCGGACAGTGTTGCCGCCGACAATGACGGCGTCGCTGCGCGCGCGCATCTCAAACACGCGCGCCCTGCGGAGGCAGCAAGGCAGTGCGTGCGTGCGCGAGGCCGCTGTGAGCAAGGGCGCCCCCGTGCGCCTTCGGAGTCCTCGCAGCGCGGCGCCGGCTCCGCCGGCGCGCCGGCTGCGTCGGCCCTGCCATTGGAAGTCGAGCGGCTCTCCTCCTGCGCGGCCAAAATTTACGCCGCTTCGCCCCGCCCAGCCGCAGCAGCTGTTCGTCCGCCGCCGCAGCCGCTCTGCCACGGCGCATCAACACTTGCACATGCCGCATGCCGCCTCGCCCGCAGCCCCCCTCTCTTCACCCACGCCCCTCGTCGCCCTCAACCGGACGCGGCGCCTGCAAGCGACGAAGCACCCCCTTTCCCCCCGCACCCCACCTCGACGCCGCAGATGACACCCAAGCCGCGTGCCCCGATGACGTGGCGATCTTCCCGTCCAGCGTCATCGCATACTTGAGCACCGACAGCGGCCGCCGCAGCACCGCGCGGTGCAGCAGCCCCTCGTTCGCCTTGAGGCACGCGAGCAGCGCAGCCTGCGCTGCGTCCGCCGCCGCGTCCCCGCCGCCGCCGCTGCTTGCCTCCCCGCCTGGCAGCACCAGCGCAGCCGCGGGCGCCCCCGCCCCGCCGTCGCCGAGCACGTCGGTCCTGACGCCGGCGCGGCGCAGCGCAGTGACCGCCTTGTTTCGGAGGTGGCGCAGCGGGTGCCGCAGGCCTACGACGACGCGCGACACGCCAGACTGCACCAGCGCCGCGATCGCGCGGTCGTCCCCATGGCAGTCCCCGCTCTCCAGGTTCAGGTACGCCGTCGCGCCGGCCGCGGCGCCGCCGGCTGCGGCGGTGGCGAGCGCCTCGGCGGGCGTCGAGCCGTGGGCGCGCTGAAACGCGGATGAGATGACGCGGCCGTCTGGGGCGACGATGAGGCAGGCCGCGTTGGGGTGGGGCTGCGTGAGGCCGGCAGAGGCGCCGGCCAGCTCGGCGGCGTCGCACAAGTGCCGCAGGTCCATGTCTGTTGTTTATCAAGCCAGGGTTCAGCACGAAATGATTGGATGTTGAGAGAAGGGGATGAAGCTGGTGGGAATGTGGGGGCAGCTTCAAGAGGAGGGCATGGAGGACCATGGAGGTCGGTGGAAACGGCGTGGCACGCCGGCATGCGGCGGCACATGCACATGCACCATGATGCGGTCCCATGAGCTGAGCGCATGCGCATGTGCGTTTGGGGGCGAGGCGCCCAGCAGCTGAGGCGCAGCACTCTGTCAACCTCAAAGCTGGCTTGGGCTGCACCCAATCCAGTCCTGCGGCAGCTAAAGCAGCGGCTAAGAGAGCCATGAGGCCTTACCCGACAGCGGCAATCCCCAGTTGTTAGAGTCCTGGCAGGTGCATCGACGGGGCACAGGTGAGGGTGCAACCACAGCTGTGCGCGCGCGCAATTCGCTGCCATGTCCGGACCCTGCGCGCTGCACCACTCGCAGTGCCGGTGCGCATGCCGCACGGCCGCCGGCATTGCTCACCATCGATACGGCAGAACACCGAAAGCGCCCTGTCACGGCCCTCGCATGGCGGAAAGCGTGCAACTGCCTGCACGCGTGCTGCCGGGGCCTCGTGGTGGGCGCGGATCGCATGGCTCCACGAATGCAGATGAATTCTATTCGACAACCAATATGGTGCCTTCTACAGCATCTGGCCCCGCCGTGAGCGCCCCGCCGAGAAGGGTGACTGCACTGGAGTCGCGCAGATGATGAAATTGAACGATTATACCAAGCTCGTAATTGGGAGTCACCGCTTTCCAAAGCGTTGTTTATGCATCACTGGCAAACCTTGGGAGCCCTGGCTTGGCTACGATACTCCCACAGCCAATGCGACAACGCACCAGCGCACCACTTCCGCCGCACTGCTCCTCTCGCTCAAACCCTTGCCAGTAGCCGACGGCGCTACAAACACACTCTTCAGGCACCTGAGGCCGATGCCCCTGTGTAAGATGCTGCACTACCCAGCGTCTTTTCGCGAAATTGACCCATACGTTGACCCCGCTACGTTGTGGCTGCCCAAGCAGGCAGCATGCCATACCAATTTTAGCCGCACCCTCCTGTGCGCGTCAAACTTCACAATTGCTAGGTTACATCGCTTCCCAGGCGTCTCAAATGGCACACATGCCGGGCCGGGGGTGCGGGGGCGAGGGGGCCGCGGCGAGGGGCCGGGGCCGAGGGGCCGAGGGCAAATGCGTGGGGGCGAGGGCCTGGGGCTGAGGGGCTGAGGGGATGGTGAGCCTGCCAATTGCATTGCAGCAGGGACAAAAAAAGAGCAAGGCGACGCACGGTTCCTCCTGCAAAAACAGGCAGGCGTTGCTGATATGCAAACCTGTCCCACCCAACTCTGTAATGAGCCTGAATCCGCGCCTACGCCTGCATGCGCTGCAGCTCCCGCCGATTTCCAGGGGCATGATGCCCCTCCTGCAAGACCTGAGCGTGCTGCCTGCCAGCTACTGGGCGGACCAGCCCCGCGACGCGTCCTTCCCGCGTGTGACGCGCGCCGTACTCCGTACCACAGAGCCCGGCTTCGAGCACGCCATCCTGGCAAGGCTGCTGCCGGCGGTGCAGCGGCCGATCCTCTACCCGCAGGACTTTTCAGCACAGTTTGTGCAGCCCCAGCGGCCCAGCCTGGCGGGGCTCACAGCCCTCGAGTGCCTCAGGGTCGGCGACAACATCCTCCATGGCGAGGTGGGGCTGCCGTGGCACCAAGACAGCTTCTGGCCGCTCACGCTCCCGGACGCGGCGGCGCTTGCCTGTGCGCCGCAGCTGCGGCTGCTGGACTGCGATGTGCGGATGCTGGGGGCAGGGCGGCTGCTGGCGCGGCTGCCGTCGTCGCTGCAAGGTCTGGATCTCAACCTGTGCTTTGAGGCAGAGGCGTGGCATGCAGGGGATGTGGGGCAGCAGCAAGAGCAGCAGCAGCAGCAGCAGCAGCAGCAGCAGCAGCAGCAGCAGCAGCAGCAGCAGCAGCGCCACGAGCAGGGACAGCGAGATGCGCCGGCGGCGGCGGCGGCACGATCGGCTCGTCCAGGGAAACCCCGCAGGGCGTGCGCAGTATGCGGGAAGCACCGCGGCACGCCCGGCGTGAAGCTGCCGCCGTGCAATGGTTGCAGCCCGGTGCTCTTGACATACTACTGCAACGTGAGCCCCCTTGGCAAGGGGCTCAGACAGGCAGTGCCCGGGCATGTTGCATGTGTGAGCGCACACATACCTGCATGCATGCATCCAGTTCAAACGCATGATGTCAACGCGGGCATGAACCATCCAGCCATGCACCACACGTCCAGCTTGACGCCCCTCCTCCCCCCCCTCTCGTGCCACTGCCAGGCGGATTGCCAGAAGGTGGGCAGCCACTGTGCACATCAGCAAGCATCAAGCCTTCCTGCTGGCCTGTTCTGTGTCCAGCTGCCTGCGAGGGCAGGCACACGCAGATCCGCGCGCGCTTGGTCATTGTATTCCGCTGACCCTTTCACTACGCGGCTCCTGCCCACACCCTTGCCCACCTGGACAGTCGCACTGGCCACACCACAAGGCCGAGTGCAAGGCGGCGCAAAAGCAGAGAGAGCAGAAGCAGCACTAGCAGCAGCAGCACTAGCAGCAGCAGCAGCGGCAGCAGCAGCAGCAGCAGCAGCAGCAGCAGCAGCAGCAGCAGCAGCAGCCGGGGCCTTCTTTGCAGCCAAACGCACGAGAGGCAGCACCCTCAATGGTCAGCCCGCCACCATGCACCTTTGAATTGCTGATGATGCTGCCGGCGCGCGAGCTGGGGGCGCTGCTGACGTCATGCGGCGTCAGTGCTGCGGGGGTGGCGGAGAAGGCCGACTTGGCGCGCGAGGTGCTGGACGCACTGCGGCGCAGCGGCGGCGGCGGCGGCGCGAGCAGCGTTCCTGGCAGCCGCTGAGGTGCGCTTGCGCTGGAGGTTGCGCCTTTTGTTGGTTGGTGTATTTCGTGCATGAGCGAGGCTTGAGGCGGCGTTGGCTTGCGTTAGTGCTGGCGGCCACCAGAGGTGGTGTCTATAAGTGGAAACGCGGTCTGTTGCCCTGGTGATCGGCCCCAAACCATAGTGTACAGGATGTGTGCACACGAAGCCGCTGTGCGCGTGGGCGCGAAGGGC